CTTCTAGCTTAAAATGTGTGCAGAATATAACTATCTCAGGGTTTCCGCTGTTTCCTAAGATGGCAATTTACCTAGAATTAATTTTTCTTATTTAATCTCAGCAGTTACTGTAATTTCTGTTCCTACAAACCAATTAAACTAAGAGTATGGATATGTGAGCCTTTGAGTTTGTGTTGGCTCCTGGTGACTGCCTGGACAAGTCCCTGCTGTTTTCTTCACTAGGTTTTTTGGATTTGCCATTGCCTTCTTCCTTGGTTGAGAGAGAATGACTGATCCAAGCTCACCCAGATGGCTTTTTGTTTAAGGTGGGAGTAGAACTCATAGCCTCCCAATTTCTAGGCTGATGCCTTCACTTCTACACCAAATTGGCTCTCTGGTAAGTAAAACAACAATATTCTGTAACAGTCTGTCCAGTTTGCTTTCTGTCCAATGAATGTCATAGTTACATTATTCATACAGCAAGGATCACTCACCTGTGTACAGAAAGGAAAGGGGAAAAATCCACTAAGGTACCAATGTAACATATGTAATGATGGCAACATTTTGAAGTGTATAAAGTAGAGGGCTTGTTTTAACCTTCAACAAATAATTGGTTTTTTATCAAAGAGAAAAGAAAAACATTTTTTTTTTTAGTGAAGAAACACTACACGGTTACACTGCAGTAAAACTTTCCTTCAGGGCTAGCTCAGCTCATGGTAAATAAAGTCTTCTTGGCAATAATATGGAAGAAATATGTTATTGTCTTGTTCCAGGAAATTTTTTGACTTTCCAGTCCAGTTTTAAAGATCATCCAAGTCTGAATAGAGGCTGCCACTTAGCTGAGCAAATGCAATAACCTTTCTCCACTTGACTGATATTACCAAAAGCACATAACAGAACTGCAGGCAGCTCGGAAGAGGAATTGCTGCCCATGATATCTACATTCATACCATTAATGTCCAACGTGAGCAGGTTTGACCAGTACTTGTAGTTCCAAAGTCCTATTTAATCAGAGACAGCATGGATTAGAAACAGAAGTGTGTCAACATGGGAACACTACCTCCTCAAGCCCTTTCTTTACCTTTCAAACTCAGCTGCCTTTGCCAAATCAGAAATGTTTGATAAAGAGCATGACTGAGTAAGTGTTTAAAGTCAAAAAAGAATTTGGCTCTGAATAAAGAAATTCATCTCCGAATGAAACCACACGGTTCCTCCGTGTGGCTCCTATGAAGCATCTTGAGAAAACCTGGAATGAAAGCAGTGCTGAAAGAGCTCTGATATCTTGCTCCTTACAGAGCAAAAGAGGGGATCGTAATGAATGTGCCATTTATTTTATTAAAAATATTTATAACCTAGAGCTGTAGATCATTCACATTAGTGCCAACCCAGAAATATAATGCAAAAAAGCAGCAAAGAAACACTACTGTACCAATAAAACATTTAAAATATTACTGTAAATCAATAGCCCCATAAATATGGCCACAAGATTATTCATTGAAAGCATTTTTTAAAAAGCAGCATCTTGATCCACTTCTAGAGGGCTTGTAACGAGGAACGGGGATAGACTATTTTTAGATGTGAGTTCCAAAATCAAGGTGCAGCCACCGAAAGGCCTTGTCTCAAGAAATTCTTTCCAGAGCTGTTAAGACATCAAAGAGGCAGCCAAGAGTGACCTCAAGAGACAGCAGGTTCATTGGGAAACAGCTGTTCTGAGAAATAACTTTTACATTATGAACACACAGACAGATACACATGAGAAGCATATGAGAATGTAAATGAAGCAAGTATTTGAGACAATATGTTGTTCAAATGAGACGTATGAAAAAAGATCATGTAAAGTGAAAAATTGGGAAATGCATATGGCATCTAAAAATGAAAGACAGCAGGAACACAATTGCCATTAAAAGCTGCGGCTTTCCCCCAAAGTGTACTGAAAAATGTTGCATTCTCTCACTTTTTTTTTTTTGCAGAAGAAATTGCCTTGTAGTGCACATAGTAAAATGTGCAGTCGAGTCGGGCAGCAGGGAGGTGGCAGCGGCCATGGCCTTCACATTTCCATATCCTCTGCCACTGCTGCCACCGTACCAGACGCCAAGCCTGGCAAGGATCAGCCTCTACATCGGCAGGCAGCATCAGCACAGCCCTGAGCCTGGTGTGGACTTTCTTTGATCTTAGCATTGTTACATAATGCAGAGGAGAAGCAGAATTTGTTAGCTCAAAAATAGCTCCTGTCTTAACAGAAAGCAGGACAAGGACCTATAGTGGGATTGAGATAAGGATCTGAAGAAGTGAAAAGGAAGTTTTAAGTTTGCAGGGCTTAAGAAACCTATTTGTTCCAGAACCTTCCGCTAAATTCCCAAAGATGGAGAAAAGGGAAAGGGGTCAGAATGTGAAAAAAAATGCTTAAGTATTTGTCAAAAATCTACTGAAGAATGCTCTCCAAAAATGTGGTGGAGAAGGTGGTTAATTTACTCCTATGGTATTTTAGAGCTGCTAAAATGTGGTATTTCAGCCTACATTGTTAAAAAACTGTGGTTCATTAGAGATTGTTTAGTTTAAGCATCTGCAATCAATTCAGGCCATTCCCAGATGTATGCCTAATGCCACTTTGGAGTTAGAAATATTATTAGTAACAATGGAGGCCAGAGTAAGGTTATGCTATTTTAATCTTTGGCTAAGCTTGTTTCTTTTTCTGTACTTGGGTTAATTCCACTAGTTCTGGAAGATTGCTTGAAAGATAGCTTGAAAAGAACCCTATTGGGCGAAAAACACACTATCATTGTGGTTTTTCATCAGACATTGTGACCATTTTAGATCTAAAGAAATCCAAGGAAGTGATTAAAGAAGATTTAATTCAAGATTTTGATCTATAAACAGGCACATATGTCACCACCCCCAAATATTCCCTCTACTGTACTGAATATTAAAAGCAATTTCATATCAGTTTATCATATATCATCATTCCACAATAATAAAAAAAGTTTATTCTGGCCAAATTTAATGCTATTCCAAAAGCAACATTGACAAAAGCACTTTTGAAAATCCCGTATGAGTGGAATTTTTGACATTATGCTGGGAGAGACTGGGTCAGCAAAACACTGTTCCTTTCATAGAAAAAAAAATACCGTCTATTTATATCAGGTCCATTATGAATATGTTAAGATGGGATGGGGAATGCATTATATACCTCCCGAGTGATCTTTTGACTGATGTTGCTTAAAGAATGGCCAAACTTTGTGCATCAGCCAATTCTCTAAGATAATAATTAGTCAGCTCCTCAGAGGTTTATTTCTGATCTACTAAGTAATTTGTATAACTTAGTAATAAATATTGTTATAATTTATACAGAAGAATTAAAATAAACTTAGTATGACAGCGAGGTGTTAGGACTTAAGTCATGTTATGTATTTTATTGTTGGTTTATAACAGAAAGGGGGACTTAGACACCCATATGTCTGTAATACATTAAATGTTTAACAGTGTGGCATTTCTGCTTGAATGACCAAACTATGGTTGCTGATGATGATCCCATCTGCTCAGAGGGATGCAAAAACACATGTTTTACACACCTTTCCTACAACGACAACTCTGTAAGATAGATTGTGCTGAGACTGACACAAAGCTATCCAAGCATTGAGGATGGATTTGAACCTATGTGCCCATTTAATTAACATAGGAAATAGAATCCAACAAAGCAACAACACTTTTAATCTTGGCTATAATCATAGAACCATGTGGATACCAGTATTTTAGTATTGAACTGATACCTGATATCAAGAAAGAAAAATACTCCCTTCTTACAGTGGAAACTAGAATTATTTGGATAAGTGATATA